GGTAGAGGGTATAGTTTAAGCTCAAGGGCAGGCTGTCGAGGGTCCTTTGGCCCTGGCCTCTGGCTGAAGCCCCAGCCTCGCCTTCTGCATCCTATGCCCCAACCACCCCATATTGTGCAGCTTCCTCATTGAGGTTTGTGCTAGGCTGTTCCCTCTGCCTGGAATGCCTTCTCTAATCTGCCAGCTTTACTCCTACAAGACTGCTGAGGTCCCCATGGGAGGCCTCACTCCTTGTCCCCAGGCAGAGTTCATTCCTGTCTCCTCTGTTGTACTTCAGAACCTTGTTCACACTGCTCTCGTTATACAAATTGCATTGTATGTGACTACTTTTTTACCTGCTGTCTTAGTCATTTAGTTCTGTTATAACAGAAATACCACAAGAGGATAGCTTCAACAAAGAGAAATTTATTCTCTCACAGTCTAGTAGGTTACAAGTCCAAATTCAGGGCATCAGCTGCAGGGGAAGGCTTTCTCCGTTAGCTCTGGAGGAAGGTTTTTGTCATCAGTCTTCCCTTGTTCTGGGAGCTTCTCAGTGCAGGAACCTCAGGTCCAAAGGATGCGCTCTGCTCCCGGCACTGCTTTCTTGGTGGTATGAGGTCCCTCATATCTCTCTGCTGGATTCTCTCTTTTGTATCTCAAAAGAGATTGGCTTAAGACACGTAATCTTGTAGATCTCATCAATATAACTGCCACTAGTCCATCTTATTTCATCATAGTGATATGATTTACAACACATCGGGAAATCACATCAGATGACAAAATGGTAGACAATCATACAATACCGCGAATCATGACCTGGCCAAGTTGACAGATACTTTTGGGGGACACAATTCAATCCATGACACCTGCCCCTTACTCAGGACCAGGACTTAGTCACAGAGTCATGTACTCAAAGTTTCCACCTTAGGTGCCTGGCTTGCCTCACCCTAATCCAAGCCATGCTACTCTGCTGGCTAGGAGGAGGACTGAACCTGTCTATTATGCCCTAGGCCCAGTGAACACCGTGGGGGTATGCAGCCTCTGCCGGCATCGGAACTGTGGGGAAGGGTCTGTTTTTCCACATGAGGTTTAAACAAGACTCATTTAATCTGTCTTTTTAGGTCATAAAGGAAAATATCCAACTTTGATCGAAAAATACAGGAAACAGTCTAAGGCAGAAAAATCTGCTGTAAAGGTTCGCCGTTTCTACCACATCGAGTATTACCTTCTGCCTGATGATGTAGAGCCTAAAAAAGTTGACATGGTGTTGTTTCCAGCCGTGACCAAAGTGTTCTTGGAGTCAGGCATAAAGGTGTGTGTGTGCACATTCATGTGTGCATGTGTGCATGTGTGTTTAACCTTGTGTGTAGACTAATACTCGCTACCCAATGTGTGGTCCGTGGACCAGCAGCATCGGGGTCACCTGGGAGCTTGTTAGAAATGCAGACTCATAGCCCCACCCTGCACCTGCTGAATGACTTTGCATTGACCTAATACCAATTCACGGGACTTTTTATTTAGATATTTTTACCCAGTAATTTCTTAGGTGTTTCAAAAGCTTTGCAGCTCTTGAGATTTCTTTCTTTCTATATGTGTGTGTGTGTGCATGAGTGTGTAAGCGTGAGTATGCACATAACTGTGTGCATGTGTGTGTGAGTGCGTGTGTATGAGCGTGTATGAATGTATGTGTGTGTGTGTGTGTGTGTGTGTGTGTGAATGTGCCTGCTCATGCACGTACACACCTGTCAGTGGTTTAGCTCTGGGTCAGTGCTTAGAAGCATTTGGAGAGGACACTATTTGCAGGTGATTGCTCTGATTTTACTTTTTCCAAGGAGCCCAGGGGTCTGAAAGGGCCCAGCATATTATACCCCAGTTCCTGACCTGAGTTTGGAGCCAGGAGAGAGGAGACACAGCAGTGGGACTGATGGAGAGCCGGGCCGCGACTTCACTGCTGATGAGGTGTCAGCGGGAGTTATTTAGATCTGCAGATGACTGAGTCCTCCTATCTTTACCACAGTTAAAGTCTCTCAGTGTTGCTTTCCACAGACCGTGAAGCCGTGGCTTGAAGGTGACAAAATCTGGGTGTCATGGATCCAAACTTTTAACATCAGCGTGACAAAGGAATTATTAAAGAAAATAAATTTTCATAAAATAAACTTGAAGCTCTGGGATACGAAGGACAAAGTTTCGAGAAGAGCCAGGTATTATCGATTAAAGGCCCCTGTTTACTCGGAAGATATCGAATCTTTTGGTAAGCCAGGTGCTCAAGTTTTAGCTGAAATATTCCTAGAAGCTGTGTCTTCTCTCTAGCCACAGAATAAAAGCCAGCTCCCCTCATTTTTCTCATCTCATTTTTCACGGGACACTCACTGGTTTCTGTATCAGTGCCATCCCACCCCTCCTCCTGTGCGGGGGTTGGGAAGTGCCGCTGGGTGGAGCTGTAGCTTTGATGGGCCAGACATGTCTGCACATGTGGACATTAGGACTCCACCTCCACCCTCTCCACCTTTCGGGACTTCCTGTCCCAGGACCACTGACGTGGGCACCCACTACCACCTGTCTCCCTGGATGAGTATTGTGTGTTCATGGAAAAAAATTAGAGGATACCAAGTGTCTTAGTCACCTAGGGCTTCCTTGATGTTCCTTGGCTTGTAGACAATCCTCACATGGTATCTGTCTTCCCCTGTGTAGGTCTCTGTGTCTATTCTGGCCTTTTTATAACTCAGAAGTGATTAGGTTTAGGACCCACCCTACACTGGCATGACCTCTTTAACATAACAAAAAGAAAGCCCAATTTTCAAACAGGATCACATTTATAGGTACAGGGGTTAGGATTTCAATACCTATTTTGAGGGGACACAATTCAGTCCATAATATCAAGAAACAAAAAAGAAAACTTAAAAATCCCACCAGCCCAAGATAACCATGTTAACATTTTCATGTAGACCCTTCTAAGCTCTTACTTATGCAAATATTATATCAATGTCAGAAAGCCTCCTTTTTAACCCCATTTAAGGAGATAGTGGCAGAGGTGGAGAGGCCCAGGCTCTGAAGTCAGACAGCCTCATCTCTTTTTCCAAACATTTTATCTAACCTTCAAGACTGAATACAGTTTCAGCCCTTTCTTGTAGCTTTTGTTATCTCCATTCATTCATTCACCCTTCTGTTCATTCTTTATTCCACAAAGGTTTGGTTGCTGTCGTGTACACACAAGGCCCCGTTTTGATAGAAGTGAAAGTCATAGAAGGGTGTCCTCCCTAGCTAAGGACAGGAGCTCTGGATATAGTCCTGGTTTTTCTTTGGACCGGCTCTCTGACCATAGGAAAGTTATAGAAGTGCTAAATTCTTCATCTGTAAAATGCGGGAATTGGTAATAACGCCCTGTAAGTGTGATGATTAAATGGAACAACACATGTCAAGGGCTTAATGGCCTTATTTGGAAGAAACCTTTGCCAGTTGAGATCTGTGCTACTCCCAAACATCTGTGTGGTTATTCTTTTGAATGTCCTGGTATTTGGAGACAGCACCTTAGGCAAATGTTCAGGAGGGTCGGGATCTTACCTATCTTATCCATTGCTTTATCTTCAGCTCTAGGGGAGTGATTGTCACATAAACCCGCTGCCATGGAGTCAGTTCCAGCTCATAGCGACCCCATAGGACAGAGTAGAACTATTCCATAGGGTTTCCAAGGCTGTAATATTTACAGAAGCAGACTGCCACATCTTTCTCCTGCAAAGCAGCCGGTTGATTTGAATCGCCAACCTTTCGGTTAGCAGCCAAGGGCTTTAACAACTGCGCCATCAGGGCTCCTTGATTATCACATAGTAGGTACTCAATAAATATTTATGATTGATTGATTGAGTCAATGATCCTTTCTTTTCCTCCTTTCTAGAGGAAGTGAAACATTTGGTTTTAAATCAGAGAAGAATGTCTGAAAAGGGAATTTCTAAAACCAACATTATTAGAGAGGAGTGGAGCCAGGAGCATTTACCAGGAAAACAAGAAAAATCAGAAAAATACTCAAAGTCTTTTCAGGGTGAGTGAAGACAACGTTTGAGGATAAATTGAGTGCAGGACTATGGCAGGAAGAGTGAGTGGTGCCGCTAGTGTATATGTGCACTGGTGATCCTCCTATGTATGAGTTACTCTGCTGCTCATCCTGTGAGGCCAGCACTGCTTTCATTAAATGACTCACTTTTTTACAGTTGATCCTTTTTCTTTATGTTTGTTTTGCAATTTATAAAAACAAACAAACAAACCAAAAAAACAGTTTTCTAACTGTAGAAATTACATGCTTTTTAGAAAATTTAGTTTAAAAAAGTATGCAAAAACAGGGAAAATAATCTATAATTCCACGACCAGGAGCAATCATTGTAGCATTTTGGTTATCATATTTTGGCAAATTTCTTTGTTTTTTTTCTAGAATTTTTTTTTAATGTAGATGATGACTCTATCCTGGATACATAAAATTTTGTATTCTGAGATTTTTATTAACGTATTGTCATGTGCACTTTCCAATGTCCTTAAAAGCTTTCCAGAAACTTCATTTTTAGTGGCTACATAATATTTCATCTTCTGGTAATACTGTAATTTCCTTAACCATTTTCTATAGTTGGGAACTTCGGACTTTTGGAAGTGTTTTCAGTCTTTTCTAACATAAATAGTACGAAAGTGAATAATTTAACTGGTATAGACTTTTTTCTTCTTTTTTCTCTGTGAGGTATTATATAAGGAACTGGAGGCCTCCTCTTGACTCCATTCGTCTAAACAATCAAAACTGTATGTTTATTCTTTGACTCATTTATTATTAACAAACCATTTTACTGAATGCTTACTATGTGCCAGGCCTTCTGCTTGGAGACTTGTGTTACAAGAATGTGTAAGCTGCCCTCATTTCTTAGAGAACTAGTATGGAGCAAGAAAATGTTATTGGCAACATTTGTTAATAAATATTATCAGGTTCTTACCAAACAGAGCCTGAAACTTCTAAGAACAGCAAGGAAAATGAGAAGTCACTCAAAATGGATGATTGTGCCACAGTTCGGTAAGGATGGATCCATGTTATTTTGGGGAGTGGGGGTGGAGCCACTACAGACTTCCACCAAGAAGCATGTAGATTTTTTTAATAACTCCATTTAAATTGGAGTTCACATAATCCAGGTGAAATTAAAGGAACAGGGAAAGGGATTCTGGTGCTTTGAGCACATGTTGTACATTAGCCACTATGCTTTCTGCACATATTATTTTATCTCATTTAAACCTTAATGATCACTCTGTGAGGTAGTATTAATATCTCCATTTTCTACACCAGGTGACTTAGTGGTTAAGTGATTCGCACAGTCATAAAACCAGAATTCGTGGTAGACTTAGGATTCCAACCCACACCTTCAGACTCCAGAGTCTACAGCCTTTCTTGCTGTGAGTGCAGTTACTCTGGTAGCCTAAGAAGTGTCTGCAGAAGGCAGTTACTCGGATGCTGTGGGGAACAACGGAAGAATAGACGCCCAGCTGGTGATTTTGGGAGAACAAAGAGAACATGTTATTAAAAAAAAAGAAACCTTGATTTTTGTTATTGTTTTGCATTGAATTTATTATTAATTTGGGAAGAACTGACATTTTTACGTTGTTATTTCATCCATGATCATAGTATATCTTTTTGCTTAATTTAGATCTTCCTTTATGTCCTTTTATAGAATTTTTTTTTTCTTCCTATACATATTGTTACTGTAAGTGAATTCCTAGGTATTTTATAGTTTTGGTTGCTTTTATAAAAATATGATATTTTCCATTATATATTCTATTGGTAGAACTTTGATAGTGTAAATGTGGTCTGTGGACCAATAGCATCAGCATCACTGGGGAGCTTATCAGATATACAGAATCTCAGGCCTTGACCCAGACCCACTGAACCACCATCTGCATTTTATTTACTGAGATCCTCAGGTGATTCATATACATATTGAAATTTGAGACTCATTTGGTTAGAAGAATGCAATGTCATTGTTTTATCTGCTCACATTTAATTCAGTAAATAGATTCTCAGAGCTGGTCTCTGATTTTTTTCACTTTCAGTTATCTTTTCCTTTGAATTTTCTAGGTGGAATATTTCAAGAGGACTAATTGTTTCTTTAGGAGGAATAACCATGTCAGAGATCAAGGAATTAATTGAGAGATCATCGTTTGGCAGCTTAACAAGCATGTTAGACAGGAAAAAGTCTCAAAGTAAGTCAGGATGAGATTTTGGAATTTTATAATATAACTGGATTTGGAAGAATTATGACATATGCACATTTCAAGTTTAGGGTACTTGAACAAGATTCTTTGATATGTACCAAACATTGCTCAAAAATAAAAGAGTACTGTACACACTTTCTCTTATCCATCTCATCCCATCCAACATTATCCATCCATCCTTACCATCCATCTATCCATCTTCACCATCCATTCATCTGTCTCCACCATCCATCCATCCCCAAAATCCATCCATCCACCCATCCCTACCATCCATCCATCCTCACCATCCACCCATCCTTGCCATCCATCCAGTCCCACGACCATCCATCCACTTATCTATTCACCCATCCTCACCATCCATTCATTCCTACCATCCATCCATCCATCCACCCACCATCCCCACCATCCACCCATCCCTGCCATCTATTCATCCCTGTCATCCACCCATCCCTGTTATTTATCCACCTATCCATACCCACAATCCATCTATCCACTTATTCATCCACCCATACCCACCATCCATTCATCCCTACCATCCATCCATCCACCCACCATCCCCACCATCCACCCATCCCTGCCACCCATCCATCCCACCATCCACCCATCCCTGCCATCTACTCATCCCTACCATCTATCCATCCCCATCATCCACCCATCCCCACCATCTATTCATCTCTACCATTCATCATCCATCCACCCACCCACCATCCCCATCATCTACCCATCCCTGGCATCCATCCATCCCTACCATTCATCCATCCCTACCATTCATCCATCCCCACCATCCATCCATCCATCCATCCACCCATCCACACATCACCATCATTCACTCATTCCTGCCATCCACCCATCCCCACCATCCATCCATCCTTGCCATGCATCCATTTCCACTATCCATCCCCACCATTCATTCATCCCCACCATTCATTCATCCCCACCATCCATACATCCCCACCATCCACCCATCCCCACCATCTACCCATCCTCACCATCCATACATCCCTGCCATCCACCCATCCTTGCCATTCATCCACTCATCCATCCCCACCATTCATCCATTTTTACCATCCATCCACCCAGCCACAATCCATCCCCACCATCCAACCATCCCCACCATAATCCATGCTTACCACCCATCCATCTTTCCACCCACCCATCCTTCCACCCACCCATCCCTACCATCCATTTGTCCATCCACCCATCCATCCCCACCATCCAACCATCCCCATCATAATCCATCCCCACCATCCATCCATCCATCTACCCATCCATCTATCCCTACCATCCATTTATCCCCACCATCCATTCATCTCTCTCATTTATCTGTCCTCTTGAATGATAAGAAGCTATTTGCCAGATGGAATGAGGGAAACAGCATCCCAAGCAGGGAACCCTCATGCAGAAGCATGTACTTTTAGTCACAGACTGACAAAAGACAAGAATTCTCAGAAGCCACTAAGTCTACTTCCTCACCAGTTTTTCAGCCAGCAGTTGGATGTCCAGTATGAAATGGAAAATTCTAGAGCCGGTGCACTTGCTGCCCTCTCAGATGGCCCATTTCATGTTTGTTCAGTTGTAACTGCTACAACTCACTTTCTTTTAATCAATTAATCTGTTTTTCCTGACAATGATCTGATTGTAGTTCAACAATCTGAGACTGGGTGTTGAAGATACAGTTGAATAAAACTAGTTCCTATTTTTAAGGCCCTTAAAAACTAGTCCACACTTTCATATCTGAACACCTTTCAACTCCTTCTAAGTTTTCTCCTTTCCAGGTTAAACAGCCTCATTCTTTTTAATGTTCTTTAAGCATTTTCATGAGTTTTTCAAACCACTCCTTTTATTTTGAATTATTTTAAACATAGAAAAGTTCACAGAAAAATATAACAATAATGTACTCATCATTCAGATTTACAGCATTTATTGCCATATTTCCTTCATTTCTTTCTTTTTCCTTTTATTTCAGAAATAAAAGGTTACAGATATAGTTCAAGTTCTTCTTGTGTCCTGTCCTTTTTGAGAAGCATGCTCTGCCCTGACATAGAAATTGGTGTGATCCTTTCCCCCTTCCTTTTCTCTCTCTCACATACACTTTTAGAGTTACAGAAATGACTTCAGATTGTATGTCTATTCCTGCAGCTTGCTTCTTACATTCAACTTTATTTCTGAGATTTACAGTGTCAATAATGCAAATCCAGCTTCTTCACTGTAATGTCTGTAGACATTAGATGGATGTACCACTCTTCTTCCATTTCATCCCCTGTTGAGGAACACTTGCATTCTCTCCAATATTTCACTCTCACAAGCAATGCTGAACTGAGCATCTTTGCTTATGTCTCCATGTGATCGTGTGTGCAAGTCTAGGGCATTTATCTGGTGGAATTCCTGGGGCACAGGAAATGTGCCTCCTCGATACCATCGCTAGATGCAGCCATCTAGCTAAATAGGCACTCTCCAGTAAATATGTACTCTCTAGGTCATACCTATTTACCCTCTGTCTTAGTTATCTAGTGTGGCTATAACAGAAATACCACAAGAGGATGGCTTTAACAAAGAAAAATTTTCTTCTCTCATAGTCTTGGAGACTAGAAGTCTGAATTCAGGGTGCTAGCTCCAAGGGAAGGCTTTCTCTGTCAGTCAGCTCTCGGGGAAGGTCTTTGTCATCAATCACCCCCTGCTCTAGGAGCTTCTTAGCTCAGGGACCCCAGGTCCAAAGAACGTGCTATTCTCCTGGCTTTTGTTTCTTGGTAGTATGAGGTCCCCATGTCTCTCTGCTTGCTTCTTTCTTTTATATCTCAAAAAAGATTGATTTAAGACAAAACCTAATCTTGTAGATTGAGTCCCGCCTCATTAACATAACTGCCCCTAATCCCACCTCATTAACATCATAGAGGTAGGATTTACAACACGTAGGAAAATCACATCAGATGACAAAATGTTGGACAATCACACAATACTGGGAGACATGGACTAGCCAAGTTGACACACATTTTTGGGGGACACAATTCAATCCATAACGCCCTCCTACCAGCAGCATCTGAAAACTCCCCCTTCTCCATGTGGCCACCCATGCTTTGTGTGGTCAGTTATTTCATTCCTGATTCCTGATGAGGTTGGATAGTGTTTCATAAGCTTATTTGATCAGACAGATTTCCTTTTACGTTATTTGCCTACATGTTTCTTTGCTTATTTTTCTATTGGTTTTTAAAATTTTTCTTATTGATCTATACGTTTTGTTTTTACATCTTCTGGGTAATTATGCTATGTCAGTTGTGTGCATTGCAAACATCCCAGACTGGGATCTATATCTTCTTACCTTACTTATGGCACCTTGTCTTGTACACCAGTTATTTAACTATTCCTTTCTAGGTTGCAGTTTTGGTGATGTTTAAGAAATCCTTCCTCATTAAGATGTCAGTATAGTCTCCTCTGTATTCTTCTAATGATTTCGAAGTTTTTGCTTTCCATCTTTAGTCTGCAATTAGTTTTGCATATAGTGTGAGGTAGCCTAATAATTTCATTTGTTTCCAAATGGATAGTCCGTATAATGTGTTGACTGGTCAATGCTTTCCACTGATTTTAAATGCCACCACTGCCATATATTAAGTTCCTTTATGTATGTGGATCTGTTTCTGGGCTTTCTTGTCTGTTCCTCTGGTGTTTATGCCACTGAATCAATAGCTCATGGTTTTAAATACCATAGATTTTTAAGTCTTATCTCCTTTTTCTTCTTGATATGAACTTGGCACTGAACTAAGCATTTTATGTACCTTTGCTCATTTACTCTCCTCAACACCCTGGAAGGCAGGTGCTATTGCCCTTGTTTGACAGAGGAGGTAACCGAGGCTCAAAATGGTTAAGGTTCTTTCCCAGGGTCACACAGTAGAAGGGTTAGAGCTAGTTCTGGAACTCTGGCTGTTCAATTCCAAAGCCCAAACCTTAATCATACACTGGCTAAGAACTACTCAGAGGAGAACTTTCAGCACCTTGTGGTATTGTTGTCATAGTGGCAACCTTAGTTCCCTCTGCCCACATTCTTGGGTACCAGCAGGGCTGGGGTGTTCAGGACACCCCTGCATCCACCTGAGAACTAGTCTGCTCTGGACATTTGGCACCTCTTCTTGTTGCTAGGAAGGGGCAGCAGTTCAAAGAGCAGCCTCGCCTGTGAAAGTTTATGGAAGCCCCTTTCCTCATCTCTACAGCATGTACACATCCTGTGTGCCAGCTAGGAGAAGAGGTCCTCCCAACATTTCTTTCCTTCTCTGATTTCACAGTTAAAGGGAAAGATTCCGACATGAAAAAGAAAATCCAGAGGAGAGGGAAGCTATTGCGAATAGAAGAGGAAACCGATTCCAAGCTGGGGGGCCACTGGAAGCAAAACGTCTTCTCCATCCAGCTGCCAATGATGCCGCTCCTTGCTGGTAGCTAACCCCAATGCCCAGCAATACTGTTGTCTTGTCACAGGAGGCCAGGTGTCCATAAATGGGATGCTCACAGTGACTGAGCCCCTGTTCTGCGTCGCTTTATTTCATCCTCACAGTAACCTCAGGGCAGTGGAGGGAGGGGGAGTATAATTGTCTCTATTTTACATAGGAAGAAACGGAGGCACAGAGAGGTTTTAAATAAACTGTACAAGATCACACGACTAGTAAGTATGAAGCCAGGATGGGAACCCAGGTCTGTCTGATTCCAAGGTCCAAATAAACCTCTGAGAAAAACAAATATTGTAATTTTGTTTGCTAAATAAGATGCTGATTTTTATAAACATTTACTACAGATTTTTATAAAGACCTATAGTAAAGGGATTGAGGAAAGGGAACCAGTTTTTACCGAGCATCTGTTAGGTACCAGGCACCTTACCTATGTCACATAATTTACCTCTTATCAAATTCTGATCTTCCCAATAAACTTTCAGTGATGGGGGGGCGGGGACGGGGACAGGGAGTAATCACTGCCATCATTTTGTCAGTGAGGAAACAAAAACTCAGAGAAGTTAAGTAACTTGCCCAAAGCCACACAGCTCAGTGCCAGAACAGAAGTTTGATTCTTTTGCTTTATAAAATCTGTCACAATTTATAAACTAGGTTTTCTACATTTTGGTAAATAATAAATAGATATTTATTATATCCATATATTTTGATGATGGAGAGCTTAGGATATGTTTTGAGTAACATTATGTGACTGTTTTAAAAAAGGGTAAGATTTAAGAAAAAAAAACTTTTGTTTTTAGAGAAAATCCTTTCAAGCTTATTCCGTTTTTTGACCTTCAGGTTGAATGTGTGCCCTCTACTGGCCATTCTGCAGAACCATAGGCTTTTGTCTTTTCTGAAATGCAAACAAGCTTTTGTAGACACGGAGGCCAAACTCCATAGAGTCAACAGTGTCGTGTTCAGTTCCACTGCGGTGGGGAAATCATAATCCTCACAAGCTCTTGGGTTGATATCAATACATTTTGAAGAAACACTATTAACTTTTTAGTTTTCATTTTTAAATAGATTTTTTAAAATCGGCTTTCACCTAAAGTTGGTCCTTTTTGAATGCCTTAACTTTCTCGTAGCATTGAGTCTCTTCTAGAGAAGTGACTGTGCCGCTGTGAGTACATTTTCACAGGGATCTCTGCTCATTCATATGCTGTGCTCCACAAGTACCAGGCTCCCACACAGCTGTTGCATGCATTGCTTTGAGCAAAAGTCTTTGGTAAGATGGCTCCTTGGTCCTTGAGTCCCGGAGAAGAATTGGTGGTCCTTTGGTGGGTGAGGTCTGTGTGACCTGCCCACTGTGGGTCTGGGCTGACTTTGCTTCTCAATTTTGCTGCGAGAGTAAGGAGAATCAAATTGTCTCAGCCTGCCTTGCGTGACTGTTCCCAGCGGGGTGAAACCAATGGTGTCCGGCCTCCCTTCTACTTTAACCCGTGCTGTACTGGCTTGCAATGTGGCAGTTAGTGCAAGAGCTTTGGTGACAGCCAGTCTTTGAATCTTGGCTCAGACACTTACCAGCAAGTTCCCTGATTTCTCTAGGTCTCAGTTTTCTCATCTGTAAAATGGGGGTGATAATTTCCACCTCAGAGGGTTGTTGTAAGGATCATATGAGATAATGTATGTAGACTGCTTAGCACAGAACCTTGCACACAGTAAGACTCAAGAGGTGACCGGTGTGGAGGTGGAAACTGCTTCTGCCAGGACATTTGGGTGGGTGAGATGCAGAGGACTGGGCCTCTAACCAGGAAAACAAAGATAAATCACCTCCCTTATACTGTACCCGTTACCGTTGAGTCAATTCCGACTCATAGTGACCGTATAGGACAGAGTAGAACTGCCCCATAGGGTTTCCAAGGAGTGGCTGGTGGATTCGAACTGCTGACCTTTTGGTTAGCAGCCATAGCTCTCAACCACTGCGCCATCTTATACTGTAGACATAGTTTATTGTCATAAACCAAAAGCGACCTCAGCGTAGCAGGCCAATTGTATGTTCATTCTTGCCATAAAATTCCAGCATCAGTTATCTATTCTAAAACCAGAATAATTGTTTTTGGTAATCATCTTCAGTTTCAAATTAGGCCATAGATCTTTTATACCTTAGTAGTAGTTGACCAGTAACCCAATAAGATTCTAGTTAGATTCTGTGTTTGGAGTGCCTCTTATTTTGAAAGGAGGTAGTATTGCATAGCAGAGGGGCAAGCTTGGCCAAGCAGGATTGGTTTGGATCCTGGTTCCACAGCTTATTAGCCAAGAGGCCTTGGGTGATTATTTAATATCTCTGAGCTTCAGTATCTCCATTTGTAAAGCACAGATGATAGCAACATCACAGGGCTGTTCTGAGGATTGGATAACACTAGCTCGTGGTAAGGTCTGGCAATTGTAGGTGTAGTGCCCGTTCCCTCCCACCTTTTCCCTTACTCTGCAAACAAACCAAAAACCTGTTACCATCCAGTAGATTACAACTCATAGCAACCCTATAAGACAGAGTAGAACTGCCCCATAGGGTTTCCTAGGCTGTAATCTTTACAGAAGAAGACTGCCACATCTTTCTCCCGCTTCCCCGGAACAGGGGATCTCAATCCAGTGATTTTGCTCCCACGGAACATTCGGCAATGTATGGAGACATTTTTAGTTGTCACAACCGGGGGAGGAGGGTGCTACTGAGTAGAAGAGAGGGATGCTGCTAAAAATCCCACAAAGCCCAGGACAGTCCGCACAACAGAATTATCTGCTCCCAAATGTCCACAATGTCAAGGCTGAGAACCCTGCTCTAGAGTTATGGCTGCCATCTCTCTGAATTTCCCCATGATCTGAGCACGTGTTTGCATTGGGGATTTCTTCTAACATGAGCAGTCTTTGATATGAAAAGGCTTACAAAGTTATAAAAGGAAAATCACAATTAGCTATGGCTTTAATGAGGTGGTTTTGTTGAAGAGAGTGAGAGCAGTGAGTTTGCCCTGGAACAGCACCCTGCTCCACGCTCCTGGCCTGCCCAGATGTCCGTGGCACGCCCTAGGCCATTACTTGTTTTGGAAGTAACTCCACTTTCTGAGTGTGAGTGACTTGGCTTTTATGCGCTCTGGAAACATATTTACAAGCATTCTGAGAGGAATAGAACTGATCTTTTTGAGTATCTGCTAGGCAGTGTCCCTGACACCATCCCATAAAAAATCTCTCTTAATCCTCTAAACTCTGAGAAAGGTGATATCTATGTCCACTTTGCAGATGAGCTGGAATCGACTTGATGGCAATGGGTTTTTTAAATAGAACTTATGGGACCTCAGTTTGAAAAACACTGGTGTATAGCATGCTGTCTCTAGACTTTTCCCAATTCATCTTTTTTTTTTTTTTAAGTTTTCCTCTTTTTGTTGTAATTTTATCATTGGCCCTTCTCAGGTTACTTGATCCTTCGGTGCCTGTCTTGGGGCTGTCACAAGTTAAGGTCTAATGCTGTGTATATTTCTCCCACAGGATGGCAAACTGTTGTCAGTCGTGGTAATGAGAAGACTGCCAGTATTTTAGATTGTTTTTTGACTTTACAAACAGAAGTACCTATCATGAATGAGGAGCAAAGGCAGGAATTAAACCCCCTGATCATAAAGATCAACTGTGCTTCCTGCCTTCCATCACAACCTGTGCCCATTCATGAACTAGAGGTAAGAATGAGCCAGAGGAGTTAAGAGTTCCTCTTCCCAGCCAACTGCTCACTACACATCATCTCTAATCCTCCCAATGGCCCTATATGGGAAGTGCGATTATCATCACTATTTTACCACTTAGAATCTCATAGCAAGTTGTGAAAGAGATTCCTAGGATTAGAAGCTACCAACTCCAAGGTCTCTACACTACACCACATGTGCTCTTCAAATGGAAGTGGCCATCCTCCCTTCAAAAGGAGCCCCCAGGCTTCCTTGTTATAGCAGCAGCACTCACGTAGATGTTCACTCATTTTGAACCAACCAGTTTCAGCACTTACGTTTATCTTAGGGATTCTCTTTTCCTTCTTTCAGTTGGATTCATGTCTCCTGGATTCTATGTCGTCTTCTTGCTTTTTTTGCTCTCAGTTTTGCTGGAGGACATCTCTAGTAGCTTCTTGAGAAAAGACTGATGGCAGATAATTTTTCTGAGATAATGTATGTCTGAAAACAGCTTTATTCTGCCCTCACACTTGATTGATAATTTGGCTGGGTATAGAATTCTAGGTTAAAAATCATTTTCCTTCAGAGTTTTGAAGGCATTATTCCATCACCATTTTATGTTCTGTGTTTCTATTGAGAAGTCCAAAGCATTCTCATCCCTGAACCTTCTCTCAAACCTTGTAGAATCTTCATTTTGTCTTTGGAAACTGCTTAATGACATATCCAAAGCTTAATGAGGTATATCCAGACCTTAATGAGGTATAGATATATTTCTATTTAATATATGTATATGAAATAATTATAGAATCATAGGAAGTTGCAAGGATAGTACACAGAGGTCCCATGTACCCTTCACACAGTTTCCCTCAGTGGTTACATCTTACATAACTACAGTACAATATCAAAACCAGAAAATTTACATTGGTACATGTGTGTATAGTTCTATGCCATTTTGTCACATGTGTAGATTCATGTAACTATCACTGCAATCAAGTTACAGAAGTATTCCATCACCACATATCCTTTTATAGTCCCACCATTCCTAACTACTGATAATCACTAATTTATTCTCCATCTTTATAGTTTTGTCAATTTGAGAATGTTATATAAATGGAGACATCCAGTATTTGACATTTGGAGACTTGCCTCACCATAATGCCCTTGCATAAAGTTGAATCATGTTTCTTTATTCATTCTGCCAATTTTTGTCTTTTAGCTGTGTATTTAGACCATTTACATTTAATATAATTATTGGTATGTTATGGCTTAAATCTGTCATTTTTTTTTTCTGTGTGTTCCCTCTGTTTTTTTGTTTCTCTTTTCCTTTTTCCTGCATTCCTGTGGGTTACTTGAACAAATTGTAGAATACCATTTTGACTTACCTATAGTATTTTAAAGCACATCTCTTTGCGTAGGTTTTTAGTGGTTGCTCTAGTTATTATAGTATGGATACATAATTTATAAAGCTCTACTGGTTTTGACATTTTACCAGTCAGAATGAAGTGTAGAAACCTTACCTTCTTTTAAATTTCTTTACCCTCCCTCGTTTATAATTGTCTTAGATACTTCCTCTACATATACTGAAAACACATCGATGTTATATTTTTGCTTCAACTGTCAAACATAACTTAGAAAACTCAAGAGGAAAAGGAAAGTGTATTGTATTTACCCATAATTTTTCTGTTTCCATTGTTCTTTCTTCCTTTCTTATGTTCTAAGATTTTTTATCATTTCCTTTCTGTTTCAAGAACTTCCTTTAGCCATTTTTATAGGGTAGATTAGTTTTCCCTTGCCAGAGAATGTCTTTATTTCTCCTTCATTCCTGGCCTCCATTGACACTGTGGGGAGGAGGGAGGCTTGTTACCACTGGGCAAGGATGAAAGTCCTAGCTTCCCACTTGCTCTTTTCTGATACCATCCTAGTGAGGGGTGTAGGAAGGGGCACGTTGTTACAGCCAGACAAGGGTGGAAATCCAGGCTCCCAGTTTGGCCTTTGCTTAAGGGGATGAGGATAGGGTTGTGTTTTTTCCATGATGTTTGTCTATGGTAGGGCGGTTATTTGTTTAAAAGTTTTCTGTCTTGCTAGATTGTCCCTTTATTGGTTCTTTGTTTGGAGAGAGCTGGCTTTTCTTGAGACTTTTTCTGCCTGCTCCCATTTGCATTTACGGATTTCTGGCTTCTCCAATACACAGCCCAAACAAAAATCAGAAAGAACTCACCATATCTTGTTCCTTGGGTACTACAACCACTAGCCTTCTTCTCTCCAACTTTAAGTCTTCTTATGTTTGTTTTATATATAATGTCCAGGGTTTTTAGCTGTACTTAGCAGGAGAAATAGGGAGAAGTGTGTCTATTCTATCTTGGCCCAGGACAGGAAGACTGTAGATATATTTTATCCATCAATCTAGAGCAATCAGTGGGCTTTTTCAAACTTATGTCCTTCAGTTCTGGGAAATTGTCTTGAATTACTTATTTCCTCCTTTTTTTCTCTCTTTGGAACTCCCGTTATTTAGATGTTGAATCCTCTGGATTGGCCTTCTAATTGTTTTTGTTACTTTTTCTTCCCTGAGTGTTTATTTTTATTCCAGGTGTGCAGAAAAGAGTTAATATAGCAGGCCTGAGACTACTATCCTTAAGAAGTTCGCTTGCAAGGTTGGTCTTTGACTGGCATCTGGGAATTTGCATTTCAGGAGAGTTCCAACCATTCCCTGATAAGAGTGGCTCACTGTGCTTAATGTGTTTATGCAAAAAAATATTGTTTATGCTGAAAACCCGTTTTCCTTCTGGAGTCTGGAATCTTGATACACGCTAGGCAGAGGATACCTACATGACCAACCTCCAATGAACACCTTGGGCCATTTCATCTAGATTATCTAATTTTTTTGTGTTCAATTGTTCATAGTATTCTCTTAGAATTCTTTTTATTTCTGTGGGATTGGTAGTAATGTCCCCAGTTTCATTTCTTATTTTAATTATTCTCTCTTTTTATTTTTTCTTGTCAGTCTGGCTAAAGGTTTGTCTATTTTATTGATCTTTTTGAAGAACCAACTTCTGATTTTGTTGATTTTCTCTATTCTCTAGTTCATTTCTCTCTGCTCTAATCTTTATTATTTCCTTCCTTCTGGTGTCTCTGGGCTTAATTTATTTGTTCTTTTTCTAGTTCCTCAAAGTGTAAAATTAGGTTATTGATTTAAGATCTTCCTTTTTAATGTATGCATTTATAGCTATAAATTTTCCCTCTGAGCTCTGCTTTTGCTGCATCCCATAAGTTTTGGTATGTTGTGTTTTCATTTTCATTTGTCTCTAAGTATATTCTAATTTCCCTTGTGATTTCTTCTTTGATTCATTGGATGTTTAATAGTGCATTATTCAATTTCCACATGTTTGTGAAATTTCCAGTCTTCCTTCTGTTATTGATTTTTACTTTCATTCCATTGTGGTTGGAGAGATACTTTCTATGATTTTGTTCTTTTAAAGTATATTGAGACTTGTTTTGTGATCTAACATCTAGTCTATCCTGCAGAATGATCCATGTGCACTGGAGAATAATGTGTATTCTGCTGTTGTCGGGTGGAGTGCTCTATATATGTTTACTAGGTTTAGTTGATTTGTAGCGTTGTTCAAGTCCTCTATTTCCTTATTTATCTTCTATGTAAATGCTTTATCTATTATTGATGGTGTATTGGTCTCCAACTATTATTGTAGAACTGTCTATTTCTCCCTTCAATTCTGTCAATGTTTGCTTCCTATATTTTTTGGTTTTTATTTGGTGTGTACATATTTACAGTTTTTATATCTTGATGTATTGATGCTTTTATCATTATATAATGTTCTTCTTTGTCTCTTGTAACAGATATTGACTTAAGTCTGATATTAATATAGCCACCTCTACTCTCTTTGACTACTATTTGCATGGAATATTTTTTCTATCCTTCCACCTTCAACCTACCAGAGTTGTTGGATCTAAAATGGGTCTCTTGTAGATAGCACATAGTTGGAAGGGAATCCAAATGGTGCACTATCAAAAAATCAATTAAACATATCCCCCAGTACTACCTACTTTTAGGTTTAGTTGATTTTTGTGGTGAACTATTTTGATTCCTTTCTCATTTCCTTTTGTGCATATATATTTTTTAATATTTTTTGTGATTACCATGGGGATCACATTTAACGTTCTAAATTTATAACAACGTAGTTTAAATGAATACCAACTCAACTTCAATAACATAGAAAAACTGTTCCTATACTGCTCCTCCCCACAAATTACAACTTTAAACATTATGTGCCCAATAACATAAGTTTATAATGATTTTATATGAATTTGTATTTTAAATCATGTAGGACATAATAAATAGAGTTACAAACCAAAAACAGCATAAAAGTGGCCTTTATATTTATCCATGAAATTACCTTTACTGGAGATCTTTTTTACTTCATACAGCTTCAAGATACTGTTTAGTATCCCTTTTTTTTCAACCTGAAGAACTCCCTTTAGCATTTCTTGCAGGGCAGGTCTAGTGGTAATGAACTCCTCAGTTTTTGTTTATCTGGGAATGTCTTAATTTTGCTCTCATTTTTGAAGGACAGTTTTGCTGAATATAGAATTCTTTCAGCATTTTAAATATGTCACCCTGCTGCCTTCTGGCCTCCATGATTTCTGAGGAGAAATTGCTATTTAATTGAGGTTTCTTTGTATGTGACAATTCGCTTCTCTCTTGCTGCTTTCAAGATTTTCTATCTTTGGTTTTCAAGAGTTTGATTATAATGTATCTCAGTGTGGATATCTGGGTTTATCTTACTTGGAGTTTGTTAAGCTTCCTGGATGTGTAGACTTGTGTTTTTCACCAGATTTGGGAAGTATTCAGCCATTATTTCTTCAAATATTCTTTCTACCCCTTCTTCTCCTTCTGGGATCCCCATAATATGTATGTTGGTCCACTTGATGGTGTCCCACAAGTCCTGTAGGTTCTTTTCACATTTTTAAATTCTTTTTCCTTTTTGCTCTTCAGATTCAGTATT